AATGAACTGAAAACTGCTGCACTGTATGCTGCCTCAACACATGTACCTTAATATTTGCACCCTTGGGGGGGGAAACAAAAATAAAAGTTGAAATCTGAAAACAAAAACCTTGTAGTTAACAAAAAAAGTGTTATTTGAAGAGGAACAGTATAAACAGCAGCAGCATATATGGATAGCAAATTTATTTATTTAGAAATTCGATCTATAAACCGCCCTCCCCTGTTTTGCACAGGGCAGTGAACAACAATTCCAACAGGCATGATTTCAGATCAAGTTAAAACAGTTAAAACACTAGATACAAAAACAATTTTAGATGATGGTGAAAATGAACCAAATTGTAACCACCCCCCGTGGGGGGAAAGGAAAGGGACAGAACTGCCAGGCTCAGGGGTCATTTCCTGCAGGAGCGCACTGGAGCGGAGCTCCGACAGTAAAGAGCCCAGGGGGCGGGCACATGCAACAAGCCCCACCCCCTGCTCCCAGCAGCCCTCAGTCAGAGCAAGAAGCAGCCAGGTAAGTTGCAGAGCTCCCCCCGGTCCAAAACAGTCCAGTGGCACCTTTAAGACCAAGTTTTATTCAGGTACAAGCTCTCCCTCCTCTGCGAGGACAGATCTGCACGTTCCCCCCCCCCCAATAGCTAGCAATCCAAAAGAGTCCAGTGGAGCCTGAGCAGTGGGTGTTGCCTTCTGACACACTTCCGGTGATGTCAGGGGGTGTGGCATATGCAAATAAGTTATGCTAATGAGTTATGCTAATGAGCTCCTGCACCTCTTTTTCTACGAAATGACCCCTGGCCAGGCTAGATGGAAACTGCTGCCGTTCTCAGCCATCGGCCTGGCGGAACATCTCTGCCTTACAGGCCCTGCGGAACTGCACACAGTCCCACAAGGCACGGATGTCATTCGGCAGAGAGTTCCAACATGTCAGGGGCCGAGGCGAAAAAGCCCTGGCTCTGGTTGAGGGCAGTCGGATGTTTTTCGAATCAGGGACCACCAGTAGGCTCTTCTCCCCAGAGTGTAATGCTTTTCGGGGGGTATACCAGGAGAGGTGGTTTCGTAGATATGTTGGTCCCAGACCATTTAGGGCCTTGAAGGTTAGGGTTACCAAAACCTTGAACCTGATCCAGTTTTCAACTTGGAGCCAGTGCTGAAAGCAATGAACCCTTTAATAGTATATTGATAATGAGCATGATGAATCTCAGGGCTATTTTTGGGCAGGAACACACAGGAACTGAGTTCCGGCTGGCTCCTGAGTTGGCCACGCCCAGCAGGAGCTCATTAGCATAATAGGCCACACCCAACAGCAGAAACTTATTAGGATTGGCTACATTAGGGGTGTGTGGCCTAACATGCAAAGGAGTTCCTGCTACAAAAAAAGCCCTGGGTTTTGACAACAAACAAGGTAAACAGAATAAGAAGGAAAAGGTGGGTGTGGCTGGATGAACACACTTCTGGTAACATGGGGGTGTGGCCTAATGTGCTAATGAGTTTCTGTTGTTGGGTATGGCCTATTATGCTAATGAGTTCCTGCTGGGCTTTTTCTACAAAAAAGAGCCCTGAGATTATCTATCCAATGCTGAACATGGACCTAGAATGCAGATTTTTAAAATCCACGCAACACACCTGCATCCACATTGGGTGTGTCTGTAAACCTAGGGGAATCTCCAGGTTTGCAAAAAAAATCCCACACATTTTTTTAAAAAGGGGGGTGTTTTATAAAAACCTACAAACTGTGGAAGCTCTTGGGACACTCCAGTGGGTGGAAGTTAAGGTGACCAACAGTAGAAGAAGATGGACAGGCAGGGAGAGGACGCAGGCAAGGCAGAGGGGGCAGGCAAGGGGGTCTGGGAGGAAGAGGGAAGAAAGAAGATAGTTTATTGGTGCTGCTGCCACTAGGCAGGAAAGAAGCTGGTTGGGCAAAAAAAGGGGGTAGCTGGAACAAGGAGGTGGCAACCCAGATTTCTCCTTCCCTCCGGTCACCAGCCCTGTCAGGGAAAGAAGGCAGGAGTGCAGAGGTGACTGTGAAGAGGACAGGAAGGAGGCAGAGGCAGTAGCTCCTCCCCGCGAGTTCCCTGTGGGTCCCCACTTATAGCATACTATAATTAATTATTTTGCTTTCCCACAGAACTACTGGCCTTTGGTCTTGCCTTCTTTCATCTTGGTGACTGATGCATACTAATTTATGGACAAAATTAGTCACAATTTAAAAATAACTATAGCCTTGAAAAGAGTGTAGCCTTTTGCAATACATGTATGAATTATCGTTTTTAAACAAGACAGTCCTACATAAAAATTTTCACACTGTACATTTGGAATGATTAACTCCATGTCTTTAAAAAAAGCATTTCACGGTTTCCAAAAGAGAAAATATTTTATAGATTTTTCTTCCCAGACCATAATCAGATGAGAAAGCCCTCAAATCGACATGCTTGTGAGAACGGACTCTGTTGGTTTATTTTGGCATGAAGCACACAAAGCAAGCAAGATGCTGTCCAAAGTCTGCCTGGGAGTCTCCCAGAAGCATCTACCTGTCTGCAGTTGGCGTTTGCCTTGACCTAGCAGGACTTTGCTTATTATACAGAGGATGGTGCAATACCGAGTCAAGGCTACCCAAGGGAGGACTGGGAAATTAAAATGCCAACCGAGCAAGCTCAGCCGAGTGGCCCCTGCAGCACTGGCAAAGGCAAAGGGGCCACCAAGGGCGAACCAGGAACTCGCCCAGGCCTGCCCAATGGCCCCACCCTCCTCCCGAGTTGAAATCTGCAGCTCCACCCTTGGTTTTATGGAGTCAGGCAGACTGTTGCTGCCCTCTTGTGCTCACTTCAAGCACTGCAGTCTTCCTTGCCCGTTTCTGCCTACTTTATCAGGTTTTTTAAAAAACACAAACAAACAAACAAACAAAAAATCTTAGTTTTATCACCTGGGTCAAACCTAATCAGTTGTGAAAAATACCCTTACTATGAGAATAGCATCTTTAAAAAAAAACAATCTTCCTCTATCAGGAGGCTTTCTCTGATCTAGGAAGGTACTCGACACAGACCCAGTTCAGAAATTACTTAATAAGAAATCAGCCCTTCGTTGGGTTACCAACTTTAAGCCCTTATTGCAACACCTTTAATATTTGAATATATCAGCAGGCGATAATGCTTACGTACATACTATTTTTGCAGATCCAACGGCTGTTAAAGCCATAGGAGCAAGTGAAGCTGCCTTTTTCCTAGTTGGGAATCCTAGCTAGTCTTTCTGGAGCAAGTTGTGAAAAAAAAACTGCTGCACAAATAAATATACTTGTCATGATTTAGAAGGGGGGGAAAACTATGTTGAGATTAATCAAGAAGAACGGTGGATGTTAAAGCACCATGGCTGGGGGTGGAGGGGGGGCAGAAAGACTGCAGCTGCAGACAGGTTAAGTTCCTGTCCCAGCTTGGTGCAGTGGTTAAGAGCAGCGGATTGGAAGCAGGATTAATTACTTCAATAAATAATTTTTTTTAAAAAGAGCAGCGGATTCTAATCTGGGAGAACCGGGTTTGATTCCCCCACTCCTCCACTTGCACCCGCTGGATGACCTTGGGCAAGCCGTAGTTTCTGGCACAGCTGTCCTTGAAAAAGAGCAGTTTTTGTCAGAGCTCTCTCAGCCCCACCTACCTCACAGGGTGTCTGTTGTGGGGAGGGGAAGGGAAAGGAGTTTGTAAACTGCTCTGAGACACCTTTGGGTAGTGAAGGGCGGGGTATCAATCCAATCTCTTCTTCTTCATCTACAATCCTGACTGGTCACAGGCAATTAATTCCCCTTGCAGCAGAGCAAACCTAGCCTACCTATCAGGAAATAATTCCTTGCCCCCCACCCAAAATAAATAAAGTGATTCAGAAAAGATCTTCCCTTATCCTGCAAAGCTCTTCAAAGAGAGGCTCCTACAGTATCTATGCAAAAGAAAGTGACTGCTCAATCAGTAAAGTGATGCAGAAACAATACTGTCTTATCCTGTAAAGCTCTTTAATGGGAGGCCACTACGGGACCTACCGTCGTCTTGAAAGTCTGCTTTGTACAAGTCTCAGTGACATTAGATAAGACATGATATTCTTTGCACATGTGTGACACTCCTGATGGGGATTTGAACAAGTGATTGTAACAAAAACAGAAAACAAGAGCGGCAAGCTCCGGATACATTTTGCTGGTTTTTAAACCCAATTACAAAGGTCGGCGGTAGGCTATTGTTAAAGAGACTGACAAACTTTTTTTTTTTAGAGAGACCAATATCATCCAGTTTGGTGTCGTGGTTAAGTGCACGGACTCTAATCTGGGAGAACCAGGTTTGATTCCCCACTCCTCCACTTGCACCTGGCTGGGTAACCTTGGGCAAGCCGTAGCTCTGATAAGAGCTGTTCTTGAAAAAGAGCAGTTTCTGTCAGAGCTCTCTCAGCCCCACCTGCCTCACAGGGTGTCTGTTGTGGGGAGGGGAAGGGAAAGGAGATTGTAAGCCGCTCTGAGACTCCTTTGGGTAGTGAAGGGCGGGGTATAAATCCAATCTCTTCTCTTCTTCTTCTAAACTTACTTAGAACTTATTTTAAAATTTTACTTGGCAAAGCAAATCACAGTGACACCGCTTCCAAGTCAAAAATGTAGTAGAAACTCAGGAGCACTTAAGAGAACATTAAACTCCACAAGGAACATGTGAGGCTGTTGCCAAACAGGACAGCTCGACGCCAGCTTCCCCCACCCCCTTCTAGTACAACTAGTGCATGTCCCAATGCTGTGTAGTTCCATATTGGCCAAGGGCTAAGGGGAATGTCAGCCGCAGTGACCTCAGGACCACAAGGCAAGTGGGAGCGCTACCCCGGCTTCCATTTTCAGCAGAAGCTCTGTTTCTAGTAAAAGTGGCTTTCGGCCCCAAAAGAGAGAACATCTCAACTACCATGGCGAGGTCAGTCCTTCTTCTGTTCCGTTAAGACTACGAAAGGCCTCGCTAGCTCCACAGAGTGTCTCTTCACACTCCTCGCTCATCATACGTTGGCGTACATGCCGTTGATCAGGTAGTCCAGCCTAGAGTAGCGCCTGTGCCGAAGAGATTCCAGCAGTTTCCGGCCTATTGCCACTTGAGCCAAGAGCAGAAATATCACCCCGAAAAGCAACACAGCTAGGAGGACACTTCTGTCGCCCAAGTAGGAGGCGTGCGTCTCACCCGGAGGCCTGCTAAGCGTGGCGCCCTCCCTGCTCAGTTGCCCATGACTAAGGTGGGCCTTGTGTGACGCAGCTGATGAACCCTTCTTGGACAGGCTGGGAGGCAGAGGGCTGAGGCTGCTGGCTTTCACTTGGGAAGTGGCTGTCGGCTGGGGAGCAGGGCTGCTTCTTCTCGGACTCACAGTTGCCACATATGCATTCCCGTAGTCAGCCGTGGCACGCCTAGTGGCTGTTGCATTACTAGGAGGAACAGTGGCCACAAGCCTTGCCTGGTTGGAAGGCGTAACAGCAGGTAGTTCAACAGTGGATTGTTTGATGGGAACTAGGTCCCGAGGAGAATCTGTTGGGGTCACCAAACTAACGGTTTGATGTGTTGGCAAAGAATCTAAACTTTCTGAAGGGTTTGCCCCTTCACCTTCTGGGTGGTGAGAGTGCCTGTGACTCTTATCTACAGGTCCCTCTATCTGGCTCAAGAGTATTTTCATCATCTTCGAGGCAGGAGACTTTGGAGAAGAACCCAGCCAGTTTGGAGAGGTTGTTGGACCAGAAGTGCCAATCAGGACAGCTTTCGGAGACGCAAAACTCCCATTCGCAATTAGATCCAGGGACTTGTTTAGGGAAGAAGTTGGTTTCGGAACTTCTGCATCTACAAACAAAAGAAAGAACTTATTTGCCAAGCAAATCCATGTACTCTAAGAAGCGGAATCCGTTATTAAAGACAGTGATGAACGAAAGCTATTGAGGAAGAATCAGCATGGATTCTGTAAGGGAAGATGTTGTCTCACTAATCTTTGAGAGTTCTTTCAGGGGGTGAACAAACATGTGGACAAGGGGGACCCAATAGATGCTATTTACTTAGACTTCCAGAAAACTTTTGATAAAGTTTCTTATCAAAGGCTCCTAAATCAACTCAGCAGTCATGGAATAAGAGGCCAAGTCCACCACAGGAGGTGGCGGGAGCTACAAACATGGACGGCTTCAAGAGGGAATTGGATAAACATATGGGGCAGAGGTCCATCAGCGGCTATTAGCCACAAGGTATAGATAGGAACTCTCAGTCTGGGGCAAGTGATGCACTGCATTCTTGGTGCTGGGGGGGGGGAACAATGGGAGGGCTTCTAGTGTCCTGGCCCCACTGCTGGA